TATGCACATCAATCATAACTTCTTCAAAGACAGCCAGAAACCGGAGTTGTGATTGATGATCAGCTGAATTTGTCAGACCTCAAAACTGCCCGGTCCTGCAGATTTGCTTTAAACAACATTAGGAAGATCAGGCCCTTTCTTTTGGAACATGCCACACAACTCCTTGTTCAAGCTCTTATTTTGTCCAAGCTGGACTATTGCAATGCTCTCTTGGCAGGTCTACCAGCCAGTTCAATCAAACCTCTACAATTAATCCAGAATGCGGCTGCAAGATTAGTTTTTAATGAGCCAAAAAGAATGCATGTCACACCTCTGTTCATCAATTTGCACTGGCTACCAATAGCTGCTCGCATAAAATTCAAGGCATTGATATTTGCCTACAAAACCACCACTGGTTCTGGACCCCTTTACCTACATTCACTACTTCAGACTTATGTGCCCTCTAGAAGCTTGTGTTCTGCAAGTGAATGGTGCATTGTAGTGCCATCCCAAAGAGAAACAAAATCACTTTCCCAGACTTTTACATTAACTGTTCCCTCCTGGTGGAATGACCTGCCTAACTCAAGAAACGGCTAAAAACACATCTCTTCCGTCTTGATTTGACTCTCTAACTCCAGCACTCTCTATTCTAACTCTATCTTATCTATTTGTTTTCTTTTTTTATTAAAACAAAACAAAACAAAACAAAAAACAACAACACGACCTAACTAACACTTGCACCCTCTATTCTAGTTCTATCCTAACTACTTGTTTTCTTTTTATTTATTATAAAAAATACCCTCTAACACTAGCATTCCTTATTCTTTTTTTCTATTATATCTACTTGTTTTCTTTTTATTTATTATATTTAAAAAAATTAGCCTAACTGAGACTTGTCACAACACTTACATATTGCTCTTTTGTTGATTTTGATTGCTTCTATTGTCCTTATTTGTCAGTTGCTTTGGATAAAAGTGTCTGCTAAATAACTAAATGTAAATGTAAATGTGATAATAATTAGGTTTATACTAAAACAATAGAAGCTATAGCATTTCCTCATTTGGATCAGCTGTTCTTTATAAAGAAATTATGTCACATATACACACACAGCAAAGACAGAAACTGCAATTAATTTTGTTTTTCTTCATTAGATTTTTTAATATCTGTTTTCTGGTTCAAACATATAATACCAGCCCTGTATCTTGGGGAAAAAAAGGCCTTTTTTTCAAAAATGCCTAATATTATCTAATTTGACGATGATGAGTTCAAAAATATAAATAAAATCTTTCCAGCTTTAATGCACATCAAAATAACAAAAAAAGTCAAATGTCAAAAATGTCTCAAAATATATAATTTAACTTACAATCTGCAAAGGTGTGGAAAAGCATAGCTTCGGTGCTCATTAGCATCCAATGTTAACATCACATCTTGCATACTAAGATTTGTACACTTGGTCAAAATTTTTTTTTTTTTCAATTTTGGCACAAAATGAAACTTTGGGAGTTGGTTGAAACAATAAAAATTTAATTTGATAGTACAGTTGAATAAGCTATTTTGCATTTTGCATTTTTAAATTCTATTTCTACAAAGAAATAAACACTGGAGTTATTATATATTCTTTAAAGCTCACTTGAATTTGTTACTTTGTCACTTTAGAAGCCAATTTAGGATGTACCTCACTTCCTGCTGCTGACTGACTTGGCAATGAGGAAGCATTCTAGCAGTCTTTGGTTTCAGACACAACCTCTCTGATCTCAAGTCCTGATTCTAAATGAAGACAGGTGCTTCTCCCAGGGATCTAAAAAGCACTTGATCCCATCTGAACAGGCCTAACATATTCACACACACACAATGATCTCTGTCTAACATCCACTTGATCTTTTTCATCGAAAAGCCAAACTAAATGTTTGTTTTTAGTTCAAGTACGAAACTATTCACTGCAACTGGCCTTAATGGATTAAAATATAGCCTTGTTAATTGTGAGAGCTAATCTTTGCAGCATTAGCAGGTACCTTCACAAAGCACTGCTACCCAAACAGCACATTAACAGCAAAAATGAGTGACATCTATGTGACAATTTGACACTCAATTTTGTATCTCTAACAAACACAACCAGCCTTACCTCTGGGATTATATAGATTAAGGGAGCGCTGGCTGAGATTTGAACGTGTTAGTGACTCAGAGGGGCTTGAGCTTTGCTTTGAGTATAACGGAGGAACACAAAGACAGACCCGGCCAATTAAGGTAATGTAGTGGAACATACACACAGCACATCACAACTGAAATTACAAACACAGTCTCTCTCTCTCTCTCTAATGCTCACAGTGAGTAAGAAAAGTGCTGAGGAGGCGTCCATGCAGAGACTCGGTGGATAACAAATTGCTTTATTTTCTGGTCTGCACACAGATTGGACTGCAGGCGCTGCACAGTTCAAAACAGCATCTCCTTCACTCCACACACACACACACACGTCCTCCTTCTTCACTGCAAATATTTGATCATTTCTACTTAAAATAAAACTTAATTAACATCATTAATCTGTGGTTGGTTATAATAAATATAATACAACAAACAAGGGAATCTCAATTTGCATTCTTCTCCAACCATACTTGACTGGTGGTGAGAAAGTCCATACTTATGAATTTGTAAATTTGTAATTTTGCATGCTCTACTAATGTTCTGTAAGCATTAGCATTCAGCTATAAAGCTAATTTATTAATGTAAAATGTAAAATTGTCATTATTTACTCATCATTTCTCGTCATCGTGTTCCAAACCTGTACGATGTTAGTTTTTTAGTGGAACACAGAATGATCATTTCTTAAAAAAACGCAGCTTTTGTCATAAAATAAGAATTTTTTTCTGATCCAAAATGAGTGAATTTTCTATGGCTTTCTCAAACACTTTGGTGATGTTTGCAGCATTATTTTTTGCGCTGATTTGAAGTAGAAACTCACCAATAATCATTATGTATTTACAAAATTATTATTTGAGACAATAAGAGTAGTAACCTTTACATGTGTTGAGCTTAATTACTGAAATCAATTTTTATTCTCTTTTGTTGTAATATTGCTTTTGCAATTATTTATATCCTGTAAAATAATAGCCTGCTTATATAAATCTGTAGAAATGAGGCATTCAGGCATTAGGAGGCCTATAGGACTTATTTACATAAATATCTATGTGTGTATATATAAAATTTGCATTAATTCTTGTGATCACAAGATTGCAAAATCATGGAGAGCTCACTGTGACCAATGCTGTCATTTTCTAAGACGGACTCAAAAGACCAAAAAAATATGAATATATAAATAGTCCACATCACTTGTAACAGACACTCTTCCAAGTTAGAAAAAGTTATCAAAAGCACAAAGCTATCATACGGATATAGGAGTATTGGAATATAGCACAAGTCACGTGAACCATTGCTATGGTACTTTTGGGTAAAATATTCCTTTAAAATGCATTATTATAATTCATATGTATATATTCATAGTATTCAGCAGTACACTTTAGTTCCCTTTCAGTCGGTCACTCTCGACGTCACGTCGGATGACCGACGAATTGGGATCTCGCTTAGAGAGACCAATCTACTTCGAGTGTAAACTAAACGAGCCAATGCACATTGGCATGCGATTATTGCATCCAGCTGCCGCTGATCACAATGTGAGTATAAGTAGGCAGCAGATGCAGCGCATATTCAGCTTTTCACTTCAGAGCCGAGCGGTTCTATCGTTCTGCTCCTGACCTTCTACGTAGAGAATAAAAAACTACAGTCAAGCACGCTCTTCGAAGTGGGCTCTCGTGCTGGTGGTACGGC